TAAAAATAGCAGTATTAACATCTTTTATTATAGCAAGACTAATATCAACTGTAGTAATCGCATCGATACTGATACCTATGCGAACAATCATATATGTAAAAATATCGATCAAATTCTACCGATAAAATAATACCAATAATTATATCCTTTATTATATTGATAACTACACTAATGAGTATATCAATAAAAGTACTTATGACAATATAAATGATAGTAACAATAATAAATATTCTTTTTTATATAAAACGATTTACTGTATGTTGGGTAAATCGTAACATGCATCATTTCTACTTTGTTTCTTGTCATAAGTACGGGGCATTGTTTACATAATCATTTGTATATCTTTGATTGTTCACAATCTCAAAATGACGTCTAGATCGATAAACGATGATGATGCAACCAAAAAAGATATAGGGTATGTTGCATTGTCTATTGGTGAAGCTATTTATCATGAACAAGGAGAATTCTTGATTGTTCATCTGAATAATTTATTTCAAAAATTTCTTTTGTAAATTTTTATAAACGAATACGAATTCTATAGTGGCTTAGAATTCTGAATGTTTTCGTGGACATAGTCCAGATAACTTTACTATTATCGGCGCTAGAATTAAATACGGGTTAATGTAAGACGACTATATCGAGAACGGTAGTAGCTAGCGGTCTGCGGTTTTCACCAATCCTACGAGACTTATTTAGGAAATGTGTTCATATAATATTATGCCAGGTGAAATCATTATCTAACCAATCATTTTTGAGAATCTTTCTGAAAAATGTATAATAATGCAATGTGGTTCCAATGAAATTTTCATTCTAACGTATATACTAATTAGATAGAGAGTCTTCAGCTTTATAATTTAAGATACGATGTGGACGGTCATCTTTTCATGGTCTAACGTTCAGAAAGTGACTTCAGCCATTTGCTTTCAAATATAATACGAAACTTCGTTGATTTTTAACCAAAAATTTTTGTATTTTATCAAAACGATTTGTTGTTCTGATGAAATTCAACAAAAAGTGAAAAAATTTGGCTAAAAATCAATGCAATTCGGTATTTTGTCTATTTCATGCATTGAAGAAGGCACAAGTTGTTTTAACATTGTGGATACGTAGCGAATTTTTTTCCTAGGAAACTTCTATGTTTGGAATCAAAACAAATATATATCACCTAAATTATAAACATCAGTTATACTATGAATATCAGGAGTAGTTTTATGTAGATAGAGGATGAGATTTAGAACAACTCGTTAAGTTTGGTTTGATACATTCTTGTTTATTAAGATATATATCCGACTTGTTGCTTAGACTGCAATAAGCTTGTTTCACTCTTGCTATTTATAGCGTAATCAAGGTGAAGACCTTAAATTATGTAATCGGTTTTGATTTCAAATATAAAAGTTTTCTACAGAAAAAGATTCATTTAAAATTCATTACCTTCTTCGATACATGAATCAGACAGTACAAGAACATTTATCTATGTATATTCTGACTTTATGTTCTCAAGATCATCGCGACAAAAAATAATATCTTGTGACACGAAGCAATCTTGGTTTTCGGACATGCGACCTCAATCAACATAAGGACGATAAAAGATTTCTCCTAACGTCGATCCTGTCCCGTCGAATGTTTTCATAATCTCCTCTGCTCACAAAAGCTGAGTGGAGACCATCCTACCACTTTTAATTATTTCGGATAAAAGATGAAAACTTATTCTCGAAATCACTGTTTCGCGGAATTCGCTGACAATGGACGAAAACTTGTATATAAAGACTTATAAGCTTTTATATTATCTCGAGATATCGATTTCCCTAACATAGTTCAAAACAATATCTATCGACTCACCATCCTCTGGAACATTGTAACTCAAAGTACAGATTTTGGACAGGAATAAACACGCAAAACATGAAAACCGAAACCGTAAGCGACCGACTATAGAAACACTGTGCCTCGTACCGCATGAGAAACTTTGTTTATATTCAAGAATATGTGCTTGCCAAAATTCTATTTTTAGTGAAGATTCTCAATCATCAGTTTTTGTTAATAGTTTTTGTTCAACTTCCGGTGCTCGTTAATCATCACATAAAAGCCGGTAGACATGGAATAAATCAAATTTGCTTTGAAAATAAACAACCACCAATATGTACTGTTATTAATCACAAAAAAAGCGAAGAAATCTTTATGACGAAAAGTATTTAGTTATATAACTAAAAAAATTAGAAAATACTGGTGAAATTCGAGAGAATTGAAGTTTTTGCCAGTTGTCAAATATGTTAACGAACATTTGTTTATACAACAACTACTACTATTTGTAATATGCTTGTTCATTCATCTGTTAAAAATTTATTTAATGCAATCAAATGAATCGCCCATGAGTTGGGTCGATAATCTTTGAGCTGGCTCTCCTCACTCGATCCGATCGATTGAGACCCTTGGACTGGAGTGTCCCGCATTTTAGTGCACGCCTATACAGTGTTGTTTGAATGCTCATGGAACACATGTCATCTCATCGTACTGTTCGTGCTTTTAAAACGTGTTCATCCAGCAAAAGAAGGAAGAAGCACACGAACCGTGTAAGTTTCATCCACAGCACGAGACACTTCCGCTTGTCTGTGTTATATGAGTAAAATGTCATTTTCATTCTATTGATTGTTAAGTTGTAGAAAAAAAAAGAACAACCGAATGTTTATTTTAGAATAGATATGAGAGAGCTATCATAGAATTAATTCATTTTAATATCAATCTAATTTGTCATTCTGTTTCAAAAAATTTTCGTTTGAAAGATGTTTATTAGAATAGAATTATGCTAGATAACTGATCGATGAATGAAGTCTATCTTTTTGTTTTCTAAGAATAGTAATACAGTAATGCAACAAAAATTAATGCATAAGAAAGAAAAAAGAGTTTTAGCGTTAGCGAACTCAAACGTTGGCCAAATGTTGATTTAAAAAAAAACGAAACACAAAAAAAAAGAATAGAAATTTGTTCTATCTTCACCAATTTGGCCACATATAATTAAGAAATTTGATTGTTAATTCATAACCAAGAAAACATGCAGCATTAGCTGGAAAAGCTCGCAGCATAACTGGTACAAAGCCTTTATAAAGTGATCTAATGCCTTCTGTATGTATTAATTCTCGTAACACATCCGCGACACCCGAATATTTGCCTGCAGGAGCTATTCATTTAAATAAAAACAAAATTCAAAAAAACAAATAATTACAAAAATCGAAACGAAACCTGTTTGAAATCTTGATTTAAGTACATCAGGAGGAATGGCTACAGCCCAATTAGCAATGCCAGCCATTCCACCAGCAAACAATGTCCTCCATGCACTTAATTCACTAGTTCTGAATTAAATTAAGGAATTTATGTATGTAGATATATTTTATTTATACTTACGAATGTCCTTCAGGTGTCAATGATCTCTTTAAGAATTCGTACGTAGAAAAATACATGCCTGATGCAGGTACATCTAAATATTCGATTCATACTATTTAAGTAATAGATTGTATAAATGTTTTATTTTTACCTCTCATAAGTGTTAAAGCTGTTCCTCGATAAATACTTCGAATACCACCTTCCCTATATAATTGTTTAGCACAATCTACTGGTCCATTATATTTATGTTCATGAGCCGCATGTTGAATCTATAATTTAGTTTTTGGTTTTGAAAACTTCTTAATTAAATCTCAATCAATTCATATTCTTACTTGTAACAAACATTTAATTCTTTCACCCGGTGCCATTATCACAGTTGTAAAAACTCCCGATAGCATACCAGCAGCAAATATTTGTGTTAAACTAATCATCAACGCTATCATTTGCAGTAAGAAAAAAAAACAATAAAATTAAATTACTTACGTATAATCACCATTGGCAGCAGATGGTGTTTGTAATTTTTTTCCAATACCATATCCAAAAAAACAAATAGCAAACATGGGTGTAACACCTTTTAGTTAAAAATAAAATAAAATCTATTTTTTTTAAATGACTAGCGAATATCCTCAACATATATTCTTCGTTCGAGTTCATATTTTTCTCATAAGGCTCTACAACTTTTAGAATGCTTTAAAACTTTTAGTCAAAGACAGATGCTTATTTCTTAGAATGACGAATGTTCAAAACACGATGGTGTACCACAATTAGGATCACAACATTCAAGTGTTCTTCAACATTGGTTAAATTATACGTCAAAATTCTTTCGTTTGTTTTTTATATGATTTAGGTTTCCTATAATTTCACAGAACTCTATTGATAAGAAAACTGTAAGCTCGAACGAAGAATATCAATTGAGAATGTTCTCTCGTAAGAACATACCCACAAGTGGTGCACCCATGCCTTTATATAAACCAGTAAAACCCTATATAAATTAGACACAAGCTTTATCTTCTCAATATTCTTCTTTGAATAATTTTTACTTCTTTCACAACAGTTTTCTTTGCACAATCCCAAGTTCCTGCATACAATGGTAGTTGTCCAGGTTGTGGTTTTGGTTGTGTTTGTAATCGAACCTTTTAGTTTTAATCAAACCTTCATTATTGAATTATCTTCGTATTTAAACTTACTTTAATTGTATCTAATGGATGACCCGTAATAACAAGACAAGCACCACCAACACCACCAGCCAGAAAATCTTTCATTGGGTTTACTTTTTTTAATGTCATTTTTGCTGCTGTTGTCTCACTTGTTATTTCAGACATGATTAGTCTTTGCTTTTCAATACACTTCTAGAAGATTTTTTATTAAGAATAAATGAAAGAATAATTTAATATATGATATCTCGAATAGTTTATTTAGCTTATTTATCTATGAATGACAATATATATGGCTAGAATAAATGAGAGAAAGAAAAAGTACAAACGGCAAAAACTCAAAGAATGTTAATGTAATACGCTAAGACAAGCTAGGATTTCTAATCATGAGTGTTAACTCAGCAAACAAACTGCAAAACGAAAAAAAAAATCAGAAATAGATTGTTTATATGTATAAACGTATGTATTTGTTTATTTGTCCTTTGCTGATTCATTGTCTGTTAAAACAGCCAATTTATTCTAAAAAAAAATGAAACAGAAAATTACGATTGATAAAAAATGAATTTTATCTAATTTACTTGTAACTTCTTATGTTCTTCACAAAGGTCATCATAATTTTTAATTGAATTGTCATATTGTTCACGTAATGTATCAATATCTTCACGTGCTTTCATCACTTCTGCATAATCGAAAAGAAAAACTCAAATTACAATTATAAATACTTTTCCGTTCAACAAACCGTTTTTATATTTCTCAATTTCAGCATCATGTTCTTTTGGATCAATATAGCGTGATGGTTCATCTGATGAAATTGGAATTTCTCGAGGATCAAGTTTCTTTAAAGAAAAAAAAATTATAATTTGAAATCTTTTAAACAAAAAAGAAAATCTTACTGATTTATCATTTGTCATAAGTCCTTCTAAATGACGATGTGCACCTTCAGCTTGTTTACGTGCTGCAGCTGAATCAGCCATTTCACGTGCAACCGCCGATAGAAGATGAATTAAACGTTTAATTACACTAAAATTATGTTATCAATACTTTTCTCGAAAATCAAATGGTTTTTTTTTTTACGTACAACCAAAGAAAAAGAGCGAAACCAGCAATATAAAAATTTCTCTGTGAACGAAATTGTTTCATATGTGCATGTGCTTCACCATGCGGTGTTGATAAATCTTTCACTTCAACAGCAGAATATTTTCTTAATTCACGAATTGAATCTAAATTTAATCAGAAATATTAAGATAAATTCTATAATTGATAAACATTTTCGTTTTTCTACCGAGAAATAATAAACCGAATATACATATTATAAAATTAAAATAATATCTTGCTCCAGCTGAAAATGCTGCTACAAGTCTTGATTTAAAAAATTTTCGCCAACTACAAAAAAAACAAATAGAATTATATATTTTATTAAAATAATATTTAAAATAGATATAAATACGTACGTTATTGGTGAAATAAATGGTAAAAGTAGAACTATAACAACGACAATTTCACAATAGAGAAATGTCGCTAGAAAAGTCCATTGAAAACTCATGTTTTATGTATTTCTTTTTTTCTATATCTAAAAATAAGTCAATGAACTTTGGAATGTAAAAGAAGAACAAAAATGTTTATCGAACTGTTCAATGAAAAGAATTAAAGAATGAAATGCTATGATTAATCGATTAAATAAATGAGAGACAAAATGAAAAAGATAACTAATGAAACAAACTACCGACTAAGATGACACGATGCGGCCAATGACCAAATAAAATAAATATGAATAACATTGATACGATGATGACTCAGTGCTATGGTGTATTTAATTGATTGAACATATTGAATAGATAGCATGAAATTTTTATTTATTATTAAAAATGGTTCATTTTTATTGATATTATATCATCAAATTATTTTATTCGTTTTTATGGGTATAAAAGTATTGAAAGCTTCTGATTGACTAAAGTTTCAACTAATAGAATTTTAGTGCAAAAAAACAAGATCTTTTTCTTGTGTCGATCATTGGGTGCATTCCGCGTGACCGTACACTTAGTATTTATGCAGTACACATTTACATTTCACAACACGTGCACTAAACGTTGTTACTCAAAATATACGGTTAGCGCATTGAAAATATGGACTTACTACTCGTCCGTGCTGACAGATAACGATAGAGCTTGAGGATGGACTTTTCAATCTGTATACTTTGTGAACTATATGGAAATATAAATACTATATATATATATAAATGCGCTGAAAAGTTGCTCAATTTTTCAAGATATTTATATGAGATTGTTATAGTTTCATTCAATACTCAATTAAAATTTTATTTGATATAATGTCATCAATGATAGTTTTTTAAAATAATTTGTTTCATTTTTAATACTTTAATTCAATTTTTTGAAATAAAAAAATTTTTTTACATAAAATATGTGTTGAAATCATTTTCATGTTATAAAAATGTTTCATCCAGGTATATGTTCACAAATATTATTAACTTAATCGATTTATTATTCAAGAGCAATGAAACATAGTTTTAATACATTAATTATTTTATCTGTTTTTACTACATTCGACTTGCAGTTTTTGTTTTACACTTGTACAAAGAAGGCAGAAAAGAATAGATTGAATTACTACTAGAGTTGTTGTAATCATGACGTTGATCAGCACAGATATTGTATCAGAAATATCTTGAATAAAACTTTTCATAACAGATTTGTGAAAATACTTCAAAAAAATACTGAAAAATATTTTCAAAAGCTCAAGAGGCATACACATCAAGTCTAAGAAAAACGGCGGTAGAAATCATGTGAGAAAGAATGGCCGATTTCTGTGAAAAAAAAACAAATTGCTCATAATACTCGATGACAGATAAAGAAAGGCACTGGGAAATTTAATGCAGAAAAATAAGCTGTTTTGTAGTCATTTCTGATGATTGAAATTATCGTTCTGAAATGTTCAGTGTTTGCTCGAACTTTTAGAACGTTCTGTATTAATAATATATAATTTATGGAGTTCTATTTACCACTAAATCATTACGACAAATTTTTTCTTCTTCTGTAAGTTTCATATTTAATTTATTGTAAGATAAAAATAAAAAACCTAAATTTCTATTTATTCATATATAACAAGCTATTCAAAAAAAAACCCCATGTTTTTGTTAATATGGATAAATTGGCTGCTGTTCTGATTGTGAGAGTATAGAAAGCAAGATTAATATTCAAAATCAAATGCATATATAAAATAATGATATGAACACGTAATTTGTAGTTTTTTTTTCTATAAAAATATTTTTTTTGTATAAAGACTTTACATTGAAAAAAATTTGTTTGGTTAAATACTATACAGAATACAAGGTATTAATAGAAGGTATTTGTATGTGTGTATCGTACCTGGTATTTTCTTCGTTCTTGTAAAGTAAATATGTGTATAGTTGTTCTATCTACTAGCGAATTTGCATTTTGACATTAAGGATTACTTCTTTAGTTTCTTTTCTATAGATAATATATCATATTTCAAATAACCCTTCTAATATTTAGGTAGAGAGTTATGCCTATGTTTATACATTATGAAAAACTTGGTACAGGAGATTTAAAATGGAATTTGGTATTGATCAGGACGGTAAGTAAAAAACACTCGAAAAAAAGCGTCTGTATATAACTAATGTATTTACGCATTTGATTAAATAGTTAATTCACCTTTAGAACTATGAAGTATTTTCTTTTTCAAGTATACGAACATACTCTCCCCTTCACTATATAAGAGATTACTTTTTTAGTATTTGTTATTTTCTTATATAAAATATTCGCATATCGAAATAAATTTTAGTACAACAAGAACTACACCTCACCAATATAAGAACAATCATGAATGAAAAACGTGCGTCAAGTAAAACGAATTTTAATTGTAATCACGTTAACATTTATATTTATTTCTTAGTTCGAATGACAATGCTGGATGAACGATATTTTTCTGACACTGATTTACAAGAACGTCACCAGAAATTAGATCAGGATATAAAAAATCTTGAGTAAATATAATTGATTTCTATTTTAAAAAAATTGTTCATTATATTATTATCTAATATAGTTTATCAATGTTAGAAATAAGTGAAGAGGATATATATGATGAATGGTGTGATCCAAAAATGCCTCGTATAGTCCGTTTTGAAGAAGTAGCTGCTGCAGCATATCGTATTAAATATGGTGTTCCAAAAACACCATGTACAGTATGTCATTAGTAATATTTTTGAAACGCGATAGATTTTGGTTTTCTTCCTTTCTATGTATAGAGTTCACATGTGTCAAAACTAGCTGGCATGAGTTTGTATTTTAAAAAAGATTTTTTATTACATACAGGTAGTTTTAAAGAACGAGGTGCAAGAAATACTTTAATGATTTTACCACCGGTTTGTTATTCTGTTCTTTTGGTAATATGATTTAAGATTCTTTTTCTTTTTGATTATGATTAGGAAGAAAAAGCTCGAGGAGTAATTGCAGCTAGTGCAGGTAATCATGCTTTAGCTGTTTGTTATCATGGTCAACAATTGGGTATACCTGTTGTGGTTGTTATGCCACGACATGCACCAATTATGAAAATAAATAATTGCAAATCATTTGGAGCTGTTGTTCTTGTTAAAGGAATCGATTTAGCTGAAGTAAATAATTTGATAGATAAACAAAAATATTATGTTATTATATTTGTTCTTCTAGTCAAAACGATTAGCATTAAAATTGGCCAAAGTATTTGGTTTACGATATATTAATGGGTAAAACAAGATCATTATTTCGAATTGTTTATTGTTCTTTCAATTTTAGTTTTGATCATCCACATATTTTAGCTGGTCAAGGAAGTCTAGGTCTTGAAGTTCTTGATCAAGTTCCAGATGTTGATGCTATTATTGTACCTACAGGTATTTCAATGGCCATTAAAATTGATATTAATTATTTTTTGTTGTTATTTTAAGGTGGTGGTGGTCTTTTAGCTGGCGTTGGTAAAATATAAATTTTCATGATTTTTTATTAAATATATTTATAAGTAAATATTATTTGTCTAGCTGCGGCTGTGAAAGCGGTTAATCCCCGTGTACAAATTATTTCAGCTGAATCTGAACGTGCACCTGGATTTAAAGCAGCAATGAAAGGTAATTGAAAATGATTTTACGTCTTTGATAAATATATATGTATTTGAATCTTGTTTTGCAGCTGGTCGACCTGTTTTTACAGAATGTCATTCGACACTAGCCGATGGTCTTGCTGTTTCTCTGGTTGGTGGAAATGCTTATGCAACAGCAGCACCATTGATTGATAGAGTTGTTTCTGTAAGGTTGGTATACATCAAAGTAAATAGAAAATAATAATAGTTTAAATTTTAGTGAAGAATATATTGCTATAGCTATATTACGTTTGGTTGAAATGGAAAAAGCTGTTGTTGAAGGTAATATTTAAGTTTTTGTTTGTTCAGTTTTATTCTTAAACATTCTCTAATATTTAGGAGCTGGTGCTACAGGTCTAGCAGCTGTTTTACAAGGTTTATTACCAGAATTGAAAGGAAAAAAGTAAGATGAAATTACAAAAATAAAATTTCAATAGTTTTGTTTTTTATTCTTTATTCTTTTTTTCAGAGTAGTAATACCATTATGTGGTGGTAATATCGATACAACTGTACTTGGTCGTGTACTTGAACGTGGTCTTGTTGCTGATAAACGTTTATTAAAAGTCTGGTTAATTGTTAGGTAAAAATAAAAAAGATTTCATTCTCAAAAATTATTCTTGATTTATGGTTTGTTTTAAATAAGTGATCGTCCGGGATCATTGGCACAAATGTGCAAATTATTTAGTACAGCCGGTGCTAGTGTTAAAGATATTTATCATGAACGAGCTTGGCTTAAATCGGATATGTTTTCAGTTCAAGTAATTTAATTTTTTAAATTGATTAGTTGTTTTCTATTTTTTCATTGATAGATTCAAGTTGTATTGGAAGTACGTGATAGTGAACATGCTGATGAAGTAACGAAGATCATATCTGAAAATTATGAGGATGTTAAATTTTATCAATAATCCATGAAAAAATATGTTCAATCATAAATTAACAATAAATCAGTAGTTAGGAAAATAAAACAAAAAACCCCTATTATCAAATGTATCCCAAAAACATTCTTTTTAAAACTGTTCAATAAATAAATTTCTATCGTTCATATCGACTAACATATCTAGTTGTATATGTGAAATAAATTACTTATTTAAAATATTCCTACATGTATTATTTTTATTGAAAGTTTAATTTTACTCTAACAAATGATGATCTAACTATTGATATAAATTCAAGGATGAGTTCTAATTCATGGAAAGCTCCTTCTGTTTCTACTGATAAACAATTGAGAGGAAGAATTATAATTAAAATAGTATTGAATGTAAATGTATATTATACTGTGCTGGATCATGATTGACTATTTTTGAATTCTAAGTATATTTAGTAAATGCAGAGATGCAGAATTTGCTGCTAAAATGAAAAACTTTCCTCACTGTAAAATTTTTCTCCAAGAAAAAAACAATAATGGATGCCCACTGATAAATAGTGCAGTTTTATTTTCTATCTTTAAAGTATTTAAAAAAAAATATTCAATGAATATGATCATTGACTTTATCAGTATCCTATATGTGATTTTTAAACACAATGTAAGTTAAAATTCGAACAACTCTAAAACGAAGTTTTTTTTTTGCATTTATTCAAATTAAAAGAAAAAAATATCGAAATATTTGATAAGATATTTTGAGTTTATTTGAACTTGTTTGAAATTTAATATTATCAAAAGGAAAATCTTTTAGCTAACCAACAATGATTCAGTTTTGTTAAATCTTTATATTATAAAGAATATCAATAATTTTTCGACATAACTGGTGACTTCAACATACTATTCTTCAAATGTATTTTAAACTTAAACAAATCGAAACAACCTATGTTTGATGAGAAAAAAAATATAATTGTCACATATTCTTTTCAACCAACCATTGTACGTCCCGATGATTCTCTTTCATATGTCGTCATTTTCAAAATGGTCAACAACTGGCATAGTCACAATACGTTCGTTTTGTATGTGAGGCAACTATTTAGCCGTTAAAACGTCATCTAATGTTCAGATGAGGCTCATTGAACGGAAGCTTTACTTCTCTTTTTATTCATTGTTGCTTGATCTTCTCTCTCTCTTTCTCTTTTACTCTCTTTCTCATATACGGCAAACGACGCGCTCGATTGACATATCCCCGAGAGAACGAATCATGTGTCACACCTCACATACATTTGTCGAATTATTTAGCCTTTTGGCCCTACATTCACGTATATATATATGTATATATATATATATATATACAGTGAGTTCACCTTGTTTTATGGCCTTCACACACACACAGGCCAAGGGTAATTAGAAACCATCACGAAAAAAAAACTTCGTCAACAACATCATTTAGACAGGCAAACTCTATAAAATATAAAACAACATACAAGTTGAGTTATCACTCGTGCGCAAAGAACATTTTATGAGAAGAAGAAAAAAAAAGGTAGCTTTATTACTATCTCCTTCAAGCTATATTATAATTGTCAACGTGATTTTGTAACAACTTTTTAAAGAACAAGAAAAAAAAAACAATTGGTTTTTATCTTTCACACGTACAGCATTCCGATAGAAACAGAAAATGGGAAACGATCAGATAACTTTGATTTGTTGATTGTTTAATCATAAATGTATACTGTTCATATGCGCACAATTAGAATAACATATTGCCAATAATAATGGATAAGCACTTCCCCTGTGGAGAGAAAGAAGAAAAAGAAAAAAAAGTAGTAGCATCTGATTGATCAAACGGATGTGAGTGAAAAAGTTTAATAGGGCCATTGAACGGCAACAGCAGTTGGAAAGTGTCGAATCGTCTGCATTTGACCGATAACGGGTGCATGTCATAGAAACCAATCGGTTGTGCATATGTGTGAGAAAAACGATAAAAAAAAATAACACAAAAAGAACAAACAACAGCGGGTGGTGACCATTTCAAGCCAAATATATTAAAACAAAAGAAAAATTGTTCAGAAAAACCTTTTATTAATCAGAATTTGCATTTATTTTTTGTTATTCTTGTCATTTGTGTCATCCTTCATCATTTCTCTCTCTCTCTCTCTCTCTCTCTTCTGACAAATAGACAACACTACTTATAAGCGACAATATATAAAAGGGAGGAATCCATTAGTGAGGCTTTAATGCGATACTGATATTGCTCAATAATATGATATATTTATTTTTATGGAGACCATTTCTCTCCTTCTGCTTTCTCTCGTTTTTTTATTTTGTACACATACATACGTATATATATATATAACATACCTTGTCTACGAATAGTCGATCATCATTTATTATTGTCGTCGACAATAACTAGATATTTCAACATATTATATTTTTTTCTTCAAAATTCAGGTAGTATTTACTTAGAAGTTTTCAAATTATAATAGAAAGCAATGACAAACAGTTTTATATGAACTGTTTTATTTCGTATAAGATATAATTTGAATGATAGTCATATAACAAAAGATTATAGATATCGATTAACGTAAGAACACACATCATTAAGTCTTATTTGTACTATGTTGTCGGGATATTGTAGTTGACAAATAGCAATAAAAAACAAAATCATATGAAGCGAGACTTATATATCTTATTATTTAATTTTTCTTTTTAAGAGAGAGAATATAGCATTAAAATTCTACATACCAATGACTCTCAATTTTAATATGAATAGTTTTTGAATTTTATTTATAGAACATTTTTATGTATATATTAATGATAAGAAAGAATATATTTATTCATTGAACTGAAAGTTCACTTTGATACATTTGTTTTTTGAAACCAGACTCTTCTATGATTGAAAAAAGAATAACTTAAAACGTGTCCGAGAAATCAATATGACAGAATACTATCTCAAAGAAGAAAAAGAAGAAACACATGCCATATATAACAACTATGCAGATGATGCCGATTATAGAAGTACTATTATTTATTAGTAGACAAGCATATCTTTCTTTCTTTCTTTTTTTTTTATCTCTATAACTTATTCTATATTGCTATAAACTGATTGGTCATCCTTAAGAATATTTTCCTTAGATATATTCGACAGTGACAAATTCTCTCTCTCACTCTTCATTAACTAAGTAGTTTCATCTATAACACTACTAACACTTCATTGATCAAAACAAGCGTAATGAATAGTACAGGTAGAAACAAAACGATGACAACATGATCAAAAACAAATGCCGAATGTCGGTTCCACCGACATTGTCATCGACGTCATCAAATTCCCATTAGATAGAACACATTGTTAACGATCAAGAGATGTCTTTTTAGTATATATGGTTCAATTGAATTAATCTTAAGAATAAATTTAAGTGTTAAAATCTAAAAAGAACAAACATATATAACAAAACTTCCTGATCGATTTTTCTTAATTTGTTTGGTGTAATGCTTGAATTTGTTTCAATATGACATTCTTTTATATATAAATACGTATATACATATGCTTATCACGTCACTATTCTCTTATAAAAACATGGCTGATATAAAGTCTGATCTTCACATATCTATGTGAGAAAAAAGGTCGATCTTCTTCACTCTAATACAGATCGAAAGGCCAAGTGGCCGACGATTTGAATTACTAAGTTTTTTATCAACATCATTTGATTCAAAAAAAAAAAAGAACTGCTTCGGCTCTGTGATTATTCGTTTATGACTATTTTATAATATGACACTTTATATGACAGCATCCAACTTGAAAAAAAATCAGACATGAGTATTTTCGACAAGTATGAAACAGATTAATATTCTTCAATTTTGTTTTTTTTTTGTTTTACAAATCGCACTAAATATATTTCAATAAAAATTATCGTTCGATGATTTTCAGTTGAATGCATAATATATATCAATCATTCAAAATTTTGATTTCAATATAACTATTGAAATAAGGTCAATCGATTCGATATAGTCATCTTTTTCCATTGATTTATACTTTAATCAATAACACATTACTTTTCACTTGTTTTTTTGTTTTCACTTTCTAGTCATCATGACTATTTTCTTTTTTGTTGAAAAGAATAACAATACAGTCGGTATTTATTCAAAAGATCCATTTCAATTCATATGTATATGTATATATAAATATATCAAGACATAGACTAAGTAAGAATGATCATTAAAGCAAGAAAAAAAAATCTAAACGTTAAATTGATAGTGATTGCAATCTAAATATGGGGAAAAAACGAAGAGTAAAAGAATATTTTACAATCACACCTTTTCTTTTTAAGGTTTACAGTCTATCTATATGTGCCCATCTTTTTTTCTCTTCTTCGTCCTATCAAATATATGTGCACATGCATACATCTATTTGATCTATGTGTATGTGTTTTGCATGATTTCTTTTTTTTCTCCTATGATAGCACAAGAGGGACACAAAATTAGTCGCACATATATTCTCTATCTATAGTGTGGTGCACCTCCGCAGGGTGATGACAAAATGAGCAATCGTTCTTCGGGGACATCGTATGCATATATTGATGATCAATGCAATACGATAGCAAACGAGAGACCGAGAAAAAGAAAAAAAAAAGAAAATATATATATATAGAAAGAGAGACAAATTATGAGAGAACAGAAGTATATGTCTATTCGGACCTATCAAACGAAAGAACTGTATTGATTGGTTGAACTGAAAAAAATAAAACGCACAAAAGGAGAGAAAAAATTCCGTTAAATTTCTATGCTTGTCCTTTTTCTTTTCTCCTCTATCGTATGTGTGCTTTCCGAATGGCTCGAAAATATCATCATCTCATCTAACGATAATGCTACTGGAGCAAAAACAACAACATGTCTATTGAGAGAGAAAAAGAGAAAGATATCATTCTCTGGTTTCTCTCATTTTTTTTCTTTCTCTCTTTCTCGCTCTCGTTTTTTTTCCAACCAACGATAGAAAGAAGTTATTTCCTCCTAACAAATCATTGTAAAGTGCTGTCGATCATTGCCTCC